GCAGTTCATATTCCGGATTGGGAATGGCGGTCGACTGGCCGTCTTGCTGCCGCGCGAAGGGCATCGACCGTCTCGGCAAAGCGGCGTGCGGCGGGCAGGAAAGCGCTGGTCGGCGGCGTGGCCCGCCGCGTTGCTTGCCGACTTCGTTGCGATATTGCGGGCTGAATTTCTGCACCGCGGATCACGGTCTTGGCGGGGGGTGCCGCGATCTCGCAAAAATTGCGGTTCTGGACCTATGCGCAATCGGCGTCCCGTCCGCTCACGGTCGGGGCGCAGCCATAGGCGTTGACCAGCAGGGCGGAGCGTCCATGCAGGGCCGCCCGGAGCGCCAGGACATATCTGCGCATGGCTGTCACCCCCCACAGGATGACATCGGCCTTGCGAACGTCGCGTGAAGGGAGGTCGATGGCGCAGGGTATAATAGCCGCCCAGTCGGACGAAGGACGAGGGCTACAGCGCCAGCTGTCGTCCTGATCGGCGTTCAGCGCCACGATCTGGGGCGAGAAGCGTTGCGGAAAACCATGGCTCACGATCAGCGCCGCGCTCTGCCGGGGGGCCATGACGCCACCGGCGGCGGCGACCATCCCCATATTTTCGCGCGCGAGTTCAGGTGGCGGAAGGGCGTTCGCGCCACGCCACGACAAAAAGCCGCGCCCGACCGAGGCGACGACCAGCCATGGTCGCGACGGCAGGTGATCGATCGATGGCGGCGCGCCGAGGAACGCGAAGATCGGCCAATGCCAGAGATAGAGTGAGTAGGAGATCAGCCCGACGAACCGCAGCGGCGGGCTGCCCAGATCGACGACAAACCATGCTCGCCCCTGCCCCGCCCAGATGATCAGCGCGGAGCCGAGCACCGGCGGCACGGCACTCAGGCCTGGAAAGGGCGTCGCGGCGCTATAGGTCAGGACGGCGAAGAGGATCATGGCGACACCGGCCAGCGCGGCAAAGCGCCGATCGTGCGATGGCGGATCGTCGGCACGATCCGTCGCCAGCAGCGAGCCGAGCAGCAACTCCTGCACGCGACGGCATCAGGTAGTAAGGCCATGACCCCCTTCATGTTGCCGACCAGAAAACTGCGCCGCCCAGAAGGACGGCCATCATCGCCACGATGGCGATCGGCAGGACGCGACGCCGCCAGCGCCCCAGCACCAGAATGCAAAGCGGGAAGAAGATGTAGAATTGCTCTTCAACACCCAGCGACCAGTGTGGAGCAGCGGCCAAGTCTCGGTAATCGTCGCGAACAGCCGGATTGCCGCCAGAAATAGACATTCGACCCGGAACAGCAGGGCCGATCCCATGCTCTTGCCGAAGGCCAACAGATCGCCCGGCAGGAGAATGACCAGCGCCGCGATCGTCGACACGCCCAGCATCACCGTCGCGCCGGCAGGATGCGGCGCAGGCGGCGCTCATAGCGGGTGATCGACGCGTCCTGCAACAGACCGGTCGATCAGGAAACCCGGAAATGACGAAGAAGACGTCGACGCCTAAAAGCCGCCGCGGAACAGCTCGACCCCGGCGTGGAAGAGACCACCGGCACGATCGCCGAGCGCGCAGGCCATCGATATCGGCGCGATAGGCGATCTTGCTGGGTTGAAGCGGGGCGGCGGACGCTTGATCGGCATGGGCGGAGCGTTCTTCCCGGTGCCCGAAGGACGATGGACGCAGAAAATGCTCGGCGGAAGTGGCGCGCTATGGGTGAAGAGGACATGATGGCCGTCCGTCCGCGTCAGGCGCGGCACGAGGGGCAAAGGGTGGAGCGGGCATCGCTGTCCCGCACCGCAAAACTTTGCAACACACACGTTTCCCGATCGCGCAATATCAAAGCCCATGATTGTCCCCGCCCCTGGATAGGTCGGCTTAGATAAACCACCCCTGCGCCGCCGCAACGCGGATGGGGCGGTCCTATCGGGGGGGAGCAATGCTGCCTTTCTTCGCGCAACGCTATTCGTATTCCCCGATGCCAACAAAAAAGCGGGCGGAACGCAGGCGATTGGATCTATGGAAGGGCAAAAAGGCTTGATAAAACAGTGATATGGATAGGGTTTCTTCGCCCGAACGTCGCAAGCAAAGGTGTGGCGGTAAATCTTTTTTCTGCTTGGCAAATCCTTTGTAGAATGGGCGGGCGAACATGATGTGTTCGTCTTTGGGACGGATACATCCATTCAGGCGCAATTCCCCTGGCGCCGGCCGTGACCGCTGTCGCTCGGCGGCCCGACCGGTGCTGATAGAGATCGGCGTCAGCGCGAAGACGGCGGGAATGCCCTGTGCCGCCGGCATGGCGACGATGTCGGAGGATTCCGCCCACAGGTTGATCCGCCATCCTCGGCCGCCTGATCGATCGCCGCCAGTTCCTCCGACGCGAAGTCCAACGCCGCACCGCGTCGAGCGAGTCATCCAGTTGTTCGACCGTGCGCGCGCCGATCAAGGCCGAGGTCACGCGCGGATCGCGCAGCACCCAACGATCGCCATCTGCGCCAGTGTCTGCCCGCGCGCGCGGCATCTCGTTCAGGCGGGCGGATCGCCGCCAGATTGCCCTCGGTCACAGCGACTGGGACAGCGAACCGCCGCGATTGGCGCAGCATCCCGGGGCACGCCGTTCAGATATTTCCAGTCGGTCAGCATGCCCCTGCGCCAGCGGCGAGAAGGCGATGCAGCTGGTACCCAGATCCTCCAGCGTCGACAGCAGTTCGCGCTCGATCCAGCGGTTCAGGATCGAATAGCTCGGCTGGTGGATGAAGAGCGGCACCTTCTCCTCGGCCAGATCGCGGCCGCACGGCGGGTCAGGCCGGGTTCGTAGGAGGAGAGGCCGATATAGAGCGCCTTGCCCTGCCGGTGCAGTTTTCCAGCGCGCCCATCGTTTTCCCAGCGGTGTTGGGGTCGACGCGGTGCGAATAGAAGATGTCGACATAGTCGACGCCCATGCCCTTCAGGCCTGCTCAACTGGCGATCAGATATTTCTTCGACGAGCCGATATCGCCATAGGGCCCCGGCCACATCCCATCCGGCCTTGGTCGAGATGATCAGTTCGTCCCGGTGCTGCGCGAAATCGGCGGCCAGCACACGCCCGAAATTCTCCTCCGCCGAGCCGCCAGGGGGGCCGTAATTGTTCGCGAGATCGAAATGGGTGACCCCGCGGTCGAAGGCGCGGCGAAGGATCGCGCGGGCCGGTTTCGAAACACATCGGTGCCGCCGAAATTCGCCACAGCCCTAGGCTGATCGCCGGCAAGCGCAACCCACTGCGCCCGACGCGGCGATAGGGGCATGCCGGCCTCGCAACGGTTGGCATCGGCGGTATAAGGCGGGGAAGGGCATGGCGGATCCTCGAAATGGGCGACCATCTATCCCGGCCGGGCTCTGCTCGCCAATGGCTCGATAAGATCGCGGACCCCATCCGAACGGGTCGGGTGGGCCGGCGTTCCGGGTTTTCTTAGCGACTTATTGGCGCGGTGTAGGAACCCTTATTCCTGCTCGGCTCTTCATGGCGGGTTATTGACCCGGTGACGGCGCGCGATGGCGTCTCACCGGGTTTCATGCCGATCGAGCAAGGAGAGAGACGATGGACACAGGGGATCAAGGGGCGCATCGCGCTCATCAGCGGATCGGATTCGGGTATGGGCAAGGAAACCGCTCGCTTCCTGTTGGAGGCCGGCGTGCGGGTCGCGCTGACCGACAAGCCGGGTGGGACGATCGACAAGCGGTCGCCGAACTGGAGCCGCTGGGCGAAGTGATTGCGGTCACTGGCGACGTGACCAAGCCCGATGAGGTCTCCGCCATCTGGCGCGAGGTGCGCGAGCGGCTGGGCGATCCTCTGACATCTATGTCAACGCGGCTGGCGTGACCGGCGCCACCGGCGATTTCGGAGATCGACGATGCCGGCTGGCAGGAGACGCTCGACATCGACCTGATGGGCGCGGTGCGCATGTGCCGCGAGGCGATCCCAGCGATGCGCGCCGCCGGGCTGGGGTCGGATCGTGCTGTTCGCCTCGGAGGACGCGGTCCAGCCCTATATCGACGAGCTTCCCTATTGTGCGGCGAAGGCAGGTATCCTCAGCCTCGCCAAGGTCTGTCCAGGCCTATGGCTGCGACAATGTGCTGGTGAACACCGTGTCGCCGGCCTTCATAGCGACCCTGATGACCGACAAGATGATGGAGAAACGGGCCGAGGAAAGGGCACCAGCTTCGACGAGGCGATCGACAGCTTCCGGAGGAAGAGCGGCCGGGCATGGTCCTGAAGCGGCGCGGCTGCCCCGAAGAGGCCGCCGCCGCAGTCGCCTTTCTGTTCGGAGCGGGCGAGCTTCATCAATGGCGCGGGTATCCGTGTGGACTCGGGGTCCGTTTTCACCATCGCCGGTGACCCTTCGCCCTTTTTCGGTTGCGCGGCTGCTCCGCTCGGAGGACAGTCGCCGCAAAACGGAGAGGGCAGGGGCATGAAGAGGCATTGGGTGGTGCTGGCATCGGTGGCGTTGCTGGCGAACAGCGCAGTGGGCCAGCAGGTCGAGACCGGATCGCTGGGGAGCGACCAACTATGCGGCCGATGGTCCTATGGCGCCCCCGATCGCGCCCCCAGTTTCGGCGATGAATTCACGAGCCGGATCGATCCCAGCCGCTGGGGCTGGGACACGGATCGCAACAAAGCCGGCTGGTATAATCGCGAGCTGCAATATTATGCCGGTCCCGATCGCTCCAACGCGCGGATTGAGGATGGATCGCTGGTGCGCAGGCGCGGCGTGAGGCGTTGAAGGACGAACCTGATTGGGGTGGGCAGGCCTATAGCTCCGCCAAGCTGGTGACACGCCAGACGCTGGGTTACGGCTTTTTACGAGATACGCGCTGCTGCCCTGCGGGCGTGGCATGTGGCCTGCCATCTGGCTGTTGCCGACGGGTGGCGCGCCCCCGCCGGCGGGGGGTGAGATCGACGTCATGGAGATGGTCGGCTGGAACCCTAATGTGATCCATGCAACGATCCACCTGCTGCCTATAATCACGTACGCGGCACGCAACGCGGGGCGGAAACGCGGGTCGCCGATGCCTGCACCGCCTATCACCGATATCAGCTCGACTGGACGCCGCAGGCCATCACGATCGGCGTCGATGGACGCGCCTATATGAAGGTGCGCAACGACCGGCCGGGCGGTGCGGCGGCCGCCCTTCACCCGGCCTATGCCCTGATCCTCAACCCGCGATCGGTGGCGACTGGGGTGGCGAGCAGGGCGTCGATGATGCCGCCCTGCCGCAGGCCATGCGCGTGGACTATGTGGGTATTGAAGTCGAACCCGTAAAGGGTTTACAGCAACGTCCCGACAGGATGGCCAATGCGATCGTAAAAGTAGATGACCAGCCCGGTCACATCGACCAACGTCGCCACGAACGGCGCCGAAGCGCTGGCCGGGTCGAAGCCCAGCCGTTGCAGGACGAAGGGCAGCATCGATCCCGCCAGCGAGCCGAAGGTCACGATCCTGACCAGCCCGGTGCCGACCGTCGCCGCGACCAGCCCCAATGCGCGCCATAGTCGTAGAAGCCCAGCGTCTGCCACAGCGCGATCCGCGCCATGCCCAACAGGCCCAGATCGCCCCCCCGTCAGCCCTGCCGGCAGTTCGCGCAGCGCCACCCGCCACCAGTCGCGCACCCGCACTGCCCAGCGCCAGCGCACGGATGATCAGCGAGGTCGCCCCGCTGCCGCTATTGCCCCCGAGCTCATGATCAGCGGGATGAACAGGGTCAGCACGACGGCGCGCTCCAGCTCGGATCTGAAATGCTGCATCGCGCTGGCGGTCAGCATCTCCGAGAAGAACAGGATGCTCAGCCAGCCGGCGCGCTTGCGGATCATCGCCAAGAAGCTGGTTTCCAGATAGGGATTGTCGAGCGCCTCGACGCCGCCGAATTTCTGCGTGTCTTCAGTATGCGCCGCAACCAAAGCGTCGAGCACGTCGTCGACCGTGACGATGCCGATCGGTCGGCCCTGCTCGTCGACGACGGGCAGCGCCAGCAGGTCGTGGCGACGGATCAGGTCGGCGACCTTCTCGCGATCGGTGGTCGGTGCGACCGTTACGGATCATGGCCCCGCGCCAGATCGATCGCGCGCGATTCAGGCTCGGCGGGTAATGAGTTGGCGCAGCGACACGGTCGCGACCAGCCGGCCCCTGTGGCTCCAGCAGAAAGACCGAATAGACGGTCTCACGGCTGCGCTCGACGGTGCGGATATGCGCCAGCACTTCGGCGACGGTCGCGTCGGCCGGACACGCGACATATTCGGTGGTCATCATGCCGCCGGCGCTGTCCGGCGGCCAGCTCAACAGGGTTTCGATCGAGGCTCGGACGGCAGCAGGAAGAGCGGCGCGGATCGCCTCCGCCTCCTCCTCGTCCATCTCCGACAGCACGTCTGCGGCGCGGTCCTCCGCCATTTGCGACACCAAAGCGGCAGCGCGCGTCAGTGGTCAGCAGCGGCAGGATTTCCGATGCACAGCGGAGTTCAGGGCTATCGAGGACCGCCACCGCGCGCGCGTATCAGGCATTTGCGACAGGGCGTCGGCCGCCTCCGCGACCGATAGCGACTGCAACATATCGACGAGATCGGCGATGGACAGACCGCGCCGCGAGGAACGGAAACCGGCGGCGACGCCGGCAATCAGATCGTTGACCATTTCAAACCTTTCGACCGCACGACCCGGGCGGACGAAAGCCAGTTACGAAAATCTAGCGAACGGGCCTGAGGCGTGCGGCGCTACTGGAACTGTCGCTGGACATGTTCTCGCTTTCTGGAACGACGCGGGGCTCCGCGCCTATGGGGCCATCTGCGCCCGACCCCGCCGATCGTCAACACTCGGGGAAAAAGTTCCGGGCATCTGACACATTTTTCACGAAGCGACCAAGGATCCCGGTGCCGGCCCGTCTGGAAGGCAAAAGCATCCAAAGGGACTATATTCGTGCATCGCCTGCTTTTCGCCTCGACCGCGACGCTTGCCCCGGTGGCGGGATCGGCGGCCTCGGCCCAGACCGTGATCGATACCAAGCGGACCACCCCCGTCCGGACCGCGACCGTCAATAATGGCGCGGCGGGCGACATCAGCATCACGACGGCGGGCAGCGTGGTGACGACCGGCGGCACCGCCGTTTCCGTCGACAGCAACAACAAGATCGCCAATGCCGGCACGATCCAGATCACCGATGCCAATGACTCCATCGGCATCGGTGCCACCGCAGGGGTGCAGGGCGAGATCACCAACACCGGCAAGATCATCCTCGACGAAAGCTACACCCCGGTCGATCTCGACAAGGACGGCGATCTGACGGTCGCTTTCGCGCAAGGCGCACGTCGCACCGATCCGGACGGCCGGAGCTTTTTACCGGCGCCATCACCAATGGCGGTGAGATCACCATCGAGGGCAATGATTCCGCCGGTATCTTTCTGGCCGGGCCGCTGACCGGCAATCTCGTCCAGTCGGGCAAGATCAATGTGCTGGGCGATCGCTCGGTTGGCGTCCGGACGGGGCGGTATCGGGCAGTGTCACGCTGCGGCACGATTGTCGCGGTCGGACAGGGCGCGGTGGGTGCGCGGATCGATGGCGATGTCGGCGGTGCGCTGACCATCGAAGGGGCGATCGGGTCGACCGGCTATCGCTACACCACGCCACCGGCCGACATTTCAAACTCGATCCCGATGATCTGTTGCAGGGCGGATCGGCGCTGATCGTCGGCGGCAATGTCGCAGGCGGGATCACGCTGGGCAATGCCACGGGCAAGGCGGCGGATCTGGTCTCCAACGGTGCGGCACCCGCGATGCAGATCGGCGCGGCCGACCGGGCGATCGTGATCGGGGCCACTGGCGGCGCGACCCCGGCGGCGGGCTGGTGGTCAATGGCCGTATCTCGGTGTCGGCGTGTATAGCGGCGTGACCGCCACCGGCCCGGCGATCGGCGGGCCAGGCGGCAATGTCCAGATCGCGCAGGGGTCGCGGTCGGCGGGACGGTGCAGGCCAATGCCAACGGCGCGGCGGCGACCGCCATCCGCTTCGGCGCCGGAGCCCCCCACGCCCGAACTGCGCAACAGCGGCACGATTAGCGCGACCGGCGGCGGCGCATCCGCGACCGGCACCACGGCGGTACTGGTCGATACCGGTGCCAGCCTGCCCACGATCCGCAACAGCGGCAGCATCAAGGCCAGCGCCGCCACGGCATCGGCCACCGCAATCCTCGACCGGACGGGCAGGCTAACGCTCGTCGAGAATAACGGCGCGATCGCGGGCGCAGGCGCCGATTCCTCACGCAGCGTCGCGATCGACCTGTCGGCGAACAGCAGCGGCGCGGTGGTGCGCCAGATCGCCCCGGCCACGGGCGCAGCCCATCCGACCATCACCGGTGCCATCCGCTTCGGCAGCGGCAATGACCGGCTGGAGATCGGCGCCGGGACCGTGTCGGGCGATGTCAGCTTCGGCACCGGCAACAACCGGTTGGAGATGAGCGGCACCGGCATCTAGCGCGGGCACCGTAACCTTCGGCACCGGTGCAGACACGCTGGTCATCGGCGACACCGCGCGGTTCGACGGCGTCGCCGATTTCGCCGGGCCAGGTCAGGATACGCTGTCGATCACCGGCAAGGGCGTCTTCGCTGGCCGGCTCGCCAATGCGGGCATGTCGCGGTGACAGTGGCCAGCGGCGGCGGCACCTTTGCCGCCAATGGCACGACCAATATCGCCTCGCTGACCATGGGCGACCAGTCGATCCTCAGCGTGGCGCTGACAAGACCAACCCGACGGCCAATCTGATCGGTCGGCGGCGCGACGACGATCGGCGCGAATAGCCAGCTGGCGCTGCGGGTCTCGGGCGGGTCGGACGACGGGCCGCTATGTCGTCCTGCGCTCAGGCACGCTGACCGGGGCCGACAACCTGTCGCTCGCGCCCTCCGCCATGCCTTCCTCTACAAGGGCGCGATCGTCGCCAGCCAACCCAATGAGATCGCGGTCGAGGTCAGCCGCAAGGCGAAGACCGAATTAGGGTTGAGCAACGCCGGCGTCAGCGCCTTTCGACGCGATCGACGCCGCGATCGGCAGCGATGCCAAGCTCTCCGACTCGATCCGGGGCATCTACGACGGTGCGGCCTTCCGGGGCGCGATCGAGCAGATGCTGCCCAACCATGCCGGCGGCGTGTTCGAGGGCGTGACGCTCGCCTCGCACCGCCGCCGCCCAGCTCCGCGAGCCGGCCGGCGAGTTCAGCGAAGAGGGCAAATGGGGCTATTGGCTGAGCCCGCTGGGCTGGGACTCGTCCAAAGGCACGCGTTCGACGCGCAGCTATGACGTGCGCGGCTGGGGCGTCAGCGGCGGGATCGAGCACAAGACCGATGCCGGCAATTTCGGCGCGTCGCTTTCCTACCTGAAGGGCGCGACAATGAAGGCTCGGCGGTCAACCGCGTCGACCACAGCCAATATGAGCTGGCCGGTTTCTGGCGGGCCCGTTGGGGCGCGCTGGCAGCGCAGGCACGGGCTTCGGCGGCCTTCATCAACTTCGAATCGCAGCGCCAGTTCGACGGCGTTATGGGGTCGAAGCGGTGCAGCGCCGCGCGACCGCCGACTGGAAGGGGATGCTCTATTCGGGCTCCGGCTCGGTCTCGTACGAACATTGGGTCGGCCAGTTCAATATCCGCCCCATCCTAGCCGTCGACTATTACCGGTTGAACGAGGATGGCTATCGCGAGGCGGGCGGCGGCACCGGTTATGACCTGACCGTGCGTAAGCGGAACAGCGACGAACTGGCGGTGACCGCGAGCGTCGCGGCCGGCATCAATTTCGGAGGCGACAATCGTTACGCCCAATGGAGCTGCCCGAGGTCGAGGCCGGCCGGCGCGAGCGGGTGGCCGGGGCGCTGGGCCGCACGGTGGCCAGCTTCGGCGACGGCACCCCTTCATCCTCGATCCCGAAGGGCGCGGCGGCGGCTGGATCGGCCGGGTCCGCGCGATCACCGGGACCAGTGAAATCCGGCTGAGCGGCGAAGTGAATGCCAGACAAAGGCTTGGCAACGTGGCGCTGTCCGCGCGCGCGGCCCTGCAGTTCGCCTTTAAGGCGAGTTCGCCCGCGTGCATCCCCCTGTACCGCGCGCGGGGCGTTTCGGAGCCCCACCCCGTCCCCGGGTGGGGCCCTTTTTCACGGGCGGAGGGTTCGGCTAAACGACCGGCCTTCCGCCCTTTTGTCCGGTCGATACCATGACGCCCACCGGGATCGAGGCCGTCTTCCTCGCCAATCGCGACAAGCTCGTCCGCTTTCTGGCGGCGCGTGGCGCGGGCGATGCGGCGGAGGATCTGGTCCAGATCTGTGGGTCAAGATGGCGGGCCGTATGGACGGGACCGATCGCCAACCCGCTGGCCCTATCTCTACCGCGCCGCCGACATGCTGATGATCGATCGCTATCGATCGCGGCGCCGTGCCGAACGGCGCGATCAGGATTGGGCCGAAGGGCAGGATCAGCAGGAGGCAGGTCCCGAACCGCCCGCCGAGCGCGCGCGCCTTGGTCGCCCGCCAGACGGCCGAGCGCGTGGCGGCAACGCTGGCCGCTTTGAGAGCGGCCCGCACACGCGTCTTCCGCCGCGCCCGGGTGGAGGGCATTCCGCAACGCCAGATCGCCGCCGAACTCGGCGTCAGCATCAGCACCGTCGAAAGCGATCTGCGCATGGCGGCCCATGCTCGCTGCGCTCAAGGACCAGATCGGATGAGCCAGACCCGATGAAGAATCCGGACGACGTCGCGCTCGACTGGGTGCGCGCATGGCCGATCCGGCGCGAGCCGACTGGGATGGTTTTACCACCCGGTTGGAGGCCGATCCCGACCATGCGGCGCGCTACGATCGCATGGCGGCGGCGCTGCTCGATGCCGAGGAGGCGTTGACGGCGTATCCTGATGTAGCCGTGCCCGAGCCGGTCTCGGGCGGAAGCGGAGCCGCCTCGCCGGCGTTTCGCTACGCTGGTTTGGCGGTGCTGTCGCGGCGACGCTGGTCGGTGCGGTGGGATTGGGGTTATGGAGCGAGCGGTTGCGACCATACGCCATCGAGACAGCGGCGGGCGAGTTGCGGCGTATTCCCCTGTCGGATGGCAGCGTCATCACGCTAGCTGGTGCCTCGCGAATCATGCTCGATCATGGCGATCCCGTCGGGCGGTGATCGAACGCGGCGAAGCATTGTTCCAAGTGCGGCATGACGGTCGCCACCCCCTTCGCCGTCGATGCGCGGGGCTGGCGCGACCGATCTGGGGACCGTCTTCGACGTCCGTCTGGGCACGCGGCAGACCTGGGTCGCTGTGGCCGAAGGCGCGGTGATGGTCGATCCAGCGGCGCGGCGCTGCGGCTGGATGCGGGGCAGGCGGTGGTCGCGGAAGGCAACCGGCTGATCCGTCAGGCGGTCGCGCCGGATACCGTCGGCGATTGGCAGGACGGACGACTGGCCTATGACGGTGCCGCGCTATCCGAAGTGGCGGAGGATCTGACCCGTTTCTGGGCGGCCGGTCACGGTCCGTCCGGCCGTGGCGGCGCAGCCTTTTTCGGGGAACGATCGACCTTAATGCCGTGCGGCGCGATCCCAAACTCCTCGCGGCCCTGCTCAACGTCGCGGTGCGGGATGATGGTCAGGGCTGGATGCTGGAACCGCGCAGGTGAAGCTTTCGGGGGCGTGTTCGGCTTGGGTTGAGCATCGTCGCGGCGGTACCCGCTGCGGCGGCCGAACGCGTTTCCGTCGATCTGCCAGCCGGAACCGTTGGGGATCAGATCATGGCATTGGGGCGCAGCGCCGGCGCCAGCATCGTCGTGCCCGATGCCGGCCTGTGGCGCCGGCCGGTTCCGGCCTTGCGCGGACGGATGACGGTCGAACAGGCGCTGGCCATGATCGCACGGCGCGCCGAGGCGCGGGCCGAGCGGCTGGAAGCGCGGGATGGCGGCTCGCCCCGCACCATGCCGCGCGTCCCGCCGTCATCAGACGCCGCCCGGCTCCCATACCGCCGCCGGAAATCCCTGCCGGCGATGTCATCGTGACCGCCAGCAAGCGCGACACCCTTCGCGATCATTTCGCGGGGCAGGTGGTGCAGGTCGCCGGCGCCGATCTGGAACTGGCGGGGCGGGGCACGTCAAGCTGGCCGACCGGATGACGGCGGTCGCCTCGACCTATCTGGGCGCGGGCCGTAACAAGCTGTTCATCCGGGGAATCGCGGATTCTAGCTTCACCGGACCGACCCGTGCGACGGTGGGCCAATATTTCGGCGACCTGCGGCTGAGCTACAATGCGCCCGATCCCGATTTGCGGCTGGCCGATCTGGCGGCGGTGGAGGTTTTGGAGGGGGCCGCAGGGGACGCTTTATGGGGCGGGATCGCTGGGCGGGCTGATCCGGCTGGTGCCCAATGCGCCCGATCCGACGCGGTTCAGCGGATCGGCGATGCTCGGCGGATCGGCGACGACGCACGGCGCGCCGGGGGCGGATGCGCAGGCGGTGCTCAACCTGCCGGTGATCGCCGATCGGCTGGCGATCCGCGTCGTCGCCGATGCCGCGCGAGCGAGGGCGGCTATATCGACAAGCCGCTACTGGGCCGTACCGACGTCAATCGCACCCGGATCGAGGGCGGCCGGGCAGCCGCCCGGCTTGATCTGGGCGGCGGATGGAATGTCGAGGCGATCGGCATCGGTCAGCGCATTCGCGGTGCCGACAGCCAATATGCGGATCGTGACGGACCACCGCTCAGCCGTTCGGCGCCGGTGACCGAGGGTTTCTCAGCCGACTTCACACAAGCGCAACTGGTCCTGTCGGGCCGGATCGGCCAGATCCGCTTTCGGTCGAGCAGCGGCGTCACCGCGCACGACCTGATGGAGCGCTATGACGCGACGCCCCCGGCGGTCCCGTCCAGCTCTTCGCCCGTGCCAATCGCACGCGAATGCAGGCCAATGAGACCCGCGCCCGGTACTCTGCCCCCGGACGGATCAGGCTGGCTGGCGGGTTCAGCTATATTCACAACACCACCCGCCTGACCCGCTTGTTCGGCGAGCCGGGGCGTTGCTGCCGCGCACTGGCGTCGTCAATGGCGTGGAGGAAGCGACCCTCTATGGCGAGGCCAGCTGCCTGCTGCCCGGCCTGCTGACGACCGGCGGCTTGCGCATCACCCATTCGGTGCTCGATGGCGGCGGCGAGGACCTGCCCTCCGCCTTGTCGCTTCAGGCCGTGCGGCAGTTGCGGAAGTGACCGCCAGCCGGGCGCAGACCATCCTGCTACCGTCCGCCTCCGCGCTGATCGACCTGACGTCCAAGGCGCAGCTTTTCCTGCGCTATCAACAGGGTTTCCGGCCCGGCGGCCTGACGATCGAAGGGCCGTTGGTCCGGCGCTTTCGCAATGATCGTGTCGCGACGATCGAGGCCGGACTGCGCGCCGGACGGCCGGGCCGCGACCCGCTCGACGCGTCGGTCACGCTGGCACATACCGCCCGGCGCGACATCCGTGCGGATTTCATCGACTCCACCGGCTTGCCCAGCACCGCCAATATCGGGGATGGCCAGCTCTGACGATCGAGGCGCTGGTCGGCGCGCGACTGTCGGATCTGCTGCGATCGAGGGCGCGGTGTCGTATAACGACAGCCATATCGATGAGCCCTCCAGCGCCCGCGCGCTTTTGCCTTGCTGGAGGGAGGCACCGCCGATCCGATGCTGGCGCGGGCAACGATCCTCGCGCGGTTAAGCCAGATCCCCAACATCGCGCGGATCACGGCGCGGACGGGGCGGTCTATCATCGGACATTGGCGGGCGGGCGCGATCTGCGGATCGATGGGTGGTTGCGCTATGTCGGCGCGTCGCGGCTGGGTGTCGGGCCGGTTCTGGGCGAGCGGCAGGGCAGCTATCTGGATAGCGGATTGACCGCCCGACTGGGTCTGGGCGCGTTCGGGGTGAGTGCCAGCGTCACCAATCTGGCCGATGTCCGCGGCAATCGCTTCGCCTCGGGCACGCCGTTCACCACGGGTCGCGACCGGTGACGCCGCTGCGCCCGCGCACGCTGCGCCTCGGGCTCGACGCGGCCTTCTGATCAGCGGCGCGGGGCTTCGCGGCGAACAAGGACAGCGGGATCGCAACCGCCATCGCCCGGTAGCCGGCCATGCTGGGATGGAGATGATCCCCTGAGTCATAAGCGGGGAGCAGGTGATCAGGACGCGCGGGATCGCGCACCGCCTGATCGAAATCGATGACGCCGTCAAACACCCCCTGATGTCCGGATGAAGCGGTTGATCGCCTGCCGGTCCGCTTCGGTCTCCGGGCCGGGATGATAATAGTCGTTGCCCGAACGGCGTGATGGTGCCACCGATCAGGCGGATGCCATGGGCATGGGCACGCTCCGCGAGTTGGCGATAGGCCATGATGATCTGCGCGACCATCGCCCGGTGCGTGGCCGCATCGGCGGATGTTCGCGGGTGAGTACGCCCAGATCGTTGACGCCCTCGAGCAGAATGACGTGGGTCACGCCGGCGGGCGATCACGTCGCGATCGAACCGCGCCATGAGGTTCGGACCCAGCCCGTCGAGCAGCACCCGGTTGCCACCGATCCCGGCATTGACGACCGAAAAGCGCCGTGTCGTTGGGTTCGCCGCCAGCCGACGTGCGAGATCGTCG